AAAAAGTTGTAAGTATAACCTTCCTCTTTTATTTTTCGATAAAATCTATATAGCCGTAACAAACTTACAACTCGAGGCACTATATCAGTATATTTTCTGTAACAAATCTTCGGTATTATTTACAAATAAGGTCTGTATTCCTTATGAAAATAAGAATATACGCGAAAATGAAAAAGGAAAAATGAAATATGAATTTTTTTTATCTCTATTATTATGATCCAAATGTACATTAATATAAAGAACTAGATGGCTGTAACATATGCATAACTCATTGCACTATATAACAGAATACTGTTTGCAAGAAATCATGTAATAAATTTTCAATATTTGCAAAGAGAAAAAGTGTTTATCCTTTTAAATGACACAACTTATATCATTTTACACTATAAAGAGAGGTAGGACTCACACCTTTATTTTTTTGTCAACTCTCTCTCTTCCTTTATCTATGTCTTTCTCTCTTTTAAAATGAAATAATTTTAGATCATTTAAAATGACAAACACTTTTCTCATTTGCAAATACTCCCTGTATTACAACTCAACTGTCAAAACCGTGCTTATTGAAAAGTCATGGGAGAGTTTTCTGCACGGTCCTGGAGGGTGGAGGCTAATTACAGTTTTAGGCAGAAAAGGATTGATGGCATTCTCATTATTAAATTCAGACTACGCAAAACTTCTAAATTTAAAAATTCACGTTGTTAAATTTTAAATTGCATGATAATTTTTTTTAAATAACTGATAATTAAAGGAATTCAAACAGAAAAGGTAGGCTGGCATTCTCATTGTTACAGCCAAAGATAGCGTGCATATTATAAATTCACACGAATCTGTTGCCTACATAAACCCCTCTCCCTTGCACAAACAGACAAATCGTAACACAACGAAACCAAACCCAAACCAAACAAAAAAATGAGAACCCAACGGCCTCTCCATCTCCTACTATCCCTCGTCTTCTTGGCAGCTGCATTCTCAGCGGCCACCGCCGTAGAAAATGGAGGAACCACCGGCAGTGACGCCAACACTGATTTCATCCGCACGAGTTGCTACACCACGCTCTACCCGAAAGTCTGCTACAGCTCCCTCTGTCGGCACGCAACTGCTGTCCAACAGAACCCTGGCCAGCTGGCTCGCGTCGCCATAGCCGTTAGCCTCTTGAAGGTCCAAAGTGTGGCCTCCTACCTCTCCAACCTCACGCTCGAAGCCGACAACTCGCCCGCTGCCAAGGCTGTCCATGACTGCTTCTCGAGATTAGACGACGTCGTCGACCAAATCCGCGACTCACTGAAGCAGATGCGGGAGATAGGATCCTCTGGCGCTGGCGATGGCACCAGCTCGTTCCGATTCCAGATGAGCAACGTGCTGACGTGGATGAGCGCGGCGATCACCAACGAGGGGACGTGTATGGAAGGATTAAACGACGTATCGGAGGGTCCGGTGAAGACGAATGTATCCCGTCGGGTGACGAAGGTGAAAAAGATAACAAGCACTGCTTTGGCGCTTGTGAATAGCTATAGCAACAAGGGAATGCCTTGAACTTTGACATTTATGATTTTCATATCGTTCCCATTCCCACATTTCAGACTCTTCAGTCTCTTGGTGTGATGTTGCACAGAGGGCTTCAATGCAAAACCCATTTATAGGGTTCATCAAACTAACTAACTGATTAACATTTGTTTTTCAAACAATGCACTAAACTCATTTATTGATTGAATTAATGCAACATTTTCAGCATTTAATTTTGCTACAATGTTATTGTGTTTTTATTATTATTATCATACAATATTGCATTGAAACTATATATATAATAAAATTGACTACATTAATAATCGCATATAATATAAAATCATTCAAAATGTGACAATATAACTTATTTAATTCACCAACTCGAATGAATTTAGTCAACTCTCAGCATGTGTCTCTGATAGTAGAGGAAGGATTGCATCGTTGATTTGATTTGCTTTTATATCTCGCTTTCATGAGTTCATCTAAAATGAAGTTTGTGTTTGGGTAATTTACCAATTGGATTGCATGGACGAGTACAATCTGTTCGAAGTATATCCTGAATTGAATGATTTTCTCTCTTTCTGTTTAGCACAATATCTCTATAAATTATCATGTTTCACTTCTACTTCTCACTTGTTTCTTCGTTTATATTTTTGCGCATAAATATAGCTGCTTGTTATTCACTAATAACTAATAACATTTTTAGAGTCACGAATTTCATACCATCTATCATATTGGCTTTGAATGTTTGAATGATAATGATCCGCTTTTGGTTACTGTTGTGCTTTGAATTTAATTTGCAGCTGGGCATTTGAGGAGGATTTATTCTATTTAACTCGATCTTATATGCATTCATTAGTCGTAAATAAAGTTTCTTGTTTTCCCCCTTAATATGTTAAATTAAAAATCTAAAATTAACACAATCACAATTATTTTTTTACAGAACTAATTGCATTTGACTTCTTAATCACACATTGAAAATGTATAGATTCTTCGGTCTTAATTGTCTAGAGTTTATATTAGTGGGGTTTCTTTGTTGGATATCTTGATAGATTTTGGAATCATTCCTCACTTGATATGCTTTTTTTTAGAATTTTGATGGTTTTTTTTTTACCACAATATCTTATTATCTAAGGAAAAAAGAAAAACACAAGAAAAACAACATTTGCTTTTCGTTTTTTTCAATGGGGCTTTTTAAAGATGTTATAATGTATTGTTGGGACTTGATAAATATTACTTGTTCTTCTTATTCCTTATCTGGTTTGATTTCTTTTTTTTTTGAAATATTGTAATTGGTTTATCGTTTCGCGACTAGTTCAAATCGGGGCAGATTCAGGATTAAGACTTTAAACCCTTCCCAAATGTGGTATGAAGAGGATTAAACACATGCTCTCACCCCACCTGCTCAGCTCTCATGCGTCAACTAAGCTACCATTATTTGGTTTATCTGGTTTGATTTCTGAATAGATAAGTACGAGTTCCAACTCCATTACTGTAACGATTACATCAGTTGCACAGTCTGTAGGGGAATATCAAGCATCCCACAGGTTCTACCACATTTTGGAAACATGTCTATTAGCACATTTCATAGCACCACAAAATTTAGTATGTTTTTCCTCTCAATATAAGATTCCAACTATTTACCTTGCTTAAGTGCCCCCAAATCAACATAAGCAGATGGAACAGAAACCATGGTTGTCTCATCAGGGGAAATTCCAATAACATGCATTTCCCTAAACAATACAATGGCGAATGCAGAACATCCTAAAGTCGCATACCCTCTAATCATGGCACTCCATGTCACCGAATCTTCTTTGGATTTTCATTGAACACATTCCTAGCAAACTCAACCCCTCCCTCGCAACACCAATATATGTGAGTCATAGTGTTCTGAACATGGAGATCATCCTCAAATCCAAACTTGAACACAAACCCATGAACTGATTTTCCCAAACTCAAACTGGCAAGGCTAGCATGGGCCTTGAGGACAAAACTAGCAAGGCCAACATTTTGAAGATTTAATTTTGCTACAATGTTAATGTATTTTTTTATTATTTTATTATTATCATTCAATCTTGTATGAACAGGACACTATATATAATAAAATTGACTATATTGATAATAATTGGATAAAATCTCAAATCATTAAAAATGTGACAATATATCTCTCTTTTTTCCTTTACTTTTAAATTTAGATGGACCAACTTATTTAACTCACTAACTTCAATGAATTTAGTCGACTCAACATGGCTTGGGTTGACATATACTTCGACAACTTCAAGGATTCGGTTCATTAGGAACTGTGGATGCTGAGGGACAAGGTTGTATTGCTGAGCAAACATGCAAAAAGTGCTATTTTGTTGTCTTCCTATGTCGCTGAGAGTAGAGGGAGAATTCAATTGTTGATTTATATTTATGTCTTGCTTTCTTGAGTTCGCCTAAAACGATATTTGTGTTTGGGTATTTTACTAATTGGGTTGCTTAGATGAATAAAATTTGTTCAAAAGTATGTTTAGAACTGAATGATTTTGCTCTCTTTTTGTTTAGTACAATATCTCTATGACAATATTTGAAAGCCCATCCAAATGGGCGTTATTAGGCTGGTCAATTGAGCCGGCCAGAACAAATTTTAAATGAGTATTTTTTTTTTAAAAAAAAAATTCCATATGACTGTAACAAACTTACAACTAATGGCACTATATTAGAATATTTGTTGTAACAAATCTTCCATACTTACCAATAAGGTCTGTATTCCTAATATGAAAATAAGAATGTACTCAAAAATGAAAAAGTCGAAATGAAATATGAATTTTTTTATCTCTATTATTATGATTTACTTTCACGAATTTTTATTCCTTTTTAGACTTCGATATTTACAAATAAGAGTTTATTTATTTTTATTTTAGAAAAAATCTATATGGCTGTAACAAACTTACAAGTCATGGCAATATAATAGAATATTTGATGTAACAAATCTTCAATATTTACAAATAAGGTCTGTATTCCTAATATGAAAATAAGAATATACTCAAAAATGAAAAAGGAGAAATGAAATATGAATTTTTTTATATCTATTATTATGATCACAATGTACATTAATAGAAAGATCTAGATGGCTGCTTACCAAAAAATAAAATAAAATCTAGATGGCTGTAACATATGTACAACTCATTACACTATGATCTATATAACAGAGTATTGTTTGTAATAAATCATGCAATAAATTTTCAATATTTGCAAATACACCCTGTAATCTGTATTACAACTCAACTGCCAAAACCGTGCTTATTGACAAGTTATAGGAGAGTTTTCTGCACGCGTCCTGGAGGTTGGAGGCTAATTAGAGTTTTAGGCAGAAAAGGAATGATGGCATTCTCATTATTACAGCCAAAGATAGCATACATATAATAATTTCACGCGAATCTGTTGCCTATATAAACAGCTCTCACTTGCACAAACAGACAAATCGTAACACAACGGAACCAAACCCAAACCAAAAAATGAGAATCCAACGGCCTCTCCATCTCCTACTATCCCTCGTCTTCTTGGCAGCCGCATTCTCAGCGGCCACCGTCGTAGAAAACGGAGGAACCACCAGTAGTGACGACAACACTGATTTCATACGGACGAGTTGCAACACCACGCTCTACCCGAAAGTCTGCTACAGTTCCCTCTCTCGGCACGCCAATGCTGTCCAACAGAACCCTGGCCAGCTGGCTCGCGTCGCCATAGCCGTTAGCCTCTTGAAGGTCCAAAGCGCAGCTTCCTACCTCTCCAACCTCACTCTCAAAGCCGGCAACTCGCCCGCTGCCAAGGAGGTCCATGACTGCTTCTCGAAATTAGACGACGCCGTCGACCAAATCCGCGACTCACTGAAGCAGATGCGGCAGATAGGATCCTCCGGCGTCGGCGCCGGTGATGGCACCAGCTCGTTCCGATTCCAGATGAGCAACGTGCTGACGTGGATGAGCGCGGCAATCACCAACGAGGGGACGTGTATGGACGGATTAAACGACGTATCGGAGGGTCCGGTGAAGACGGATGTATCCCGTCGGGTGACGAAGGTGAAGAAGATAACAAGCAATGCTTTGGCGCTTGCCAATAGCTATAGCAACAAGGGAATGCCTTGAACTTTGACATTTATGATTTTCATATTGTTCCCGTTCCCACATTTCAGATTCTTCGGTCTCTTGTGATGTTCAGAGAACTTCAATGCAAAACCCATTTGTAGGGATCATCAAACTAACTAACTGATTAACATTTATTCTTCAAACAATGAACCAAACTCATTTATTGATGGAATTAATGCAACATTTTTTGCGCAGCAATATAGCAGCATGTTATTCACTAATAACTAATAACATTTTTTGAGTCACAAATTTCATGGAATTTACCATCCTGGCCGAGTGTATATTTGAATGATAATGAGCCGCTTCTGGTTACTGTTCTGCTTTGAATTTAATTTGCAGCTGGGCATTTGGGGAGGATTTATTCTATTTAACTCAATTTTATATACATTCATTATTTGTAAATAATTTTTTTTGTTTTTCCCCCCTTAATATGTTAAACTAAAAATCTAAAATTAACGCAATCACAATTATTTTTAACATAACTACTTGCCTTTAACTTCCTAATCACACATTGAGAATATATAGATTTGTTTTCAAGTTATAACTGCCACATCATCTTTTCTTGATGAGCTTGAACTTCGTTGATAGGAATGATTTACATCTTTATATTGTTTTTTAATATTAATCAGCAGTATTTCATATATAATGCTTGTTTTGTTAAATATTCACCATATTTGATTAATATGGTTAGCTATGATTGTTTGCAAACTGCTCTGGATTTATGCCTTGACATATTGCAGCTAATTAAGGACTACCCTCTGCCTGGCCTCATCCATGTTAGTGAATTAAAGCTATAATTTATGTTTTCTATGTAGGGACTAATTCTCTTTTATATAAAGATATATTAGTTAGCCCTTTTTTTTCTTGACAAATGAAAGGATTGGTGGAGTAGATGATTTAAAATCTACAAAGTTAATATTGTTATTGCCAATTGATATAAATGATTCTTGATTTAGAAATAAAAATTTCATAAGAAAATTTCGTTTTCTTGCTTTTTTCTGTCCTTCTGTAGAATACGTCAAAACCTTTATATTGTGATTCAACTGATGTTTTGAAAGTGTGGCATAGCTCATCTACTTGTGCTTATGGATCAATACAAGCAAACTGTTATCCATTATGGTGTTAAAATTATTGAGAGGGGATAATTTTGTTGAGACCTAATGAGTCTCACATTTGTTGATAATGGATTAAGTGAAGAGTATATAAGTGGAAGGACCCATAAACTCAAAACCTTAACTCAATACCTTAAGGTTTTTGGTTGAGATATGGTGTCGGCTCCGCTTTGTGTATTTGGAATAGCTTAGTCCATTGATGGTGGTCCTCTGCCACATGCTTCCCCTGGACTCGCCTGACAGTGATATCAGAGCTCGGTTGTGCTCGAGCTAGTCTGGTGATTGGCTAGGAGGCGGGTTGAGTAAAAGACACACATTTTCAATTCAAACTTCTTATTCATAAAAATAATTAATTTAAAAAATTAATTCCAACACAAACATGGGTGATAATAAATGGAAAGTGACTAAAGTATGAGTGTTTAAAAAAAAGTATTGCTACAACGGCGCATTTGGTCAGACACATTGTAAAATTGTGGTTATTTTGTTAGGGATTGTGGAAGCAGGACTCTATCTTTGCTGTACACAATTAAATGTTGTATGCATTAGGCTCAGAAAACGTGATTGGCTCTGGAGCAATGTAAGATTGGACATTTTTATCTTTCTTATTCTGGCTTAAGGCCGACATGAGTTTTGCATGGGATGCCAAGTTGTCTATGTATTAAGGCATGAAATCCTAATGTTACAAAGCAAAAGATTACACATTCCGTATGTCCTGACTTTAGGTCTTGTGGAGACTTATATATATGCATTACTATATTGTTTTAATTAAATAATTACGGTGTTATTTACATATGATATCAATAGCATATTTCCCCTGATATGTTTTTGTGTCTGAGATCCACCGGAACGAGTGAAGTTCTCTCATTTTCCCCAAATTTTTCTTTGAATTCCCTGTTTGGCTAGAGGTTATATTAGAGGGGTTTCTTTGTAGGATATATATCTTGATATGCTTTTTTAAGGTTTGATTTTTGAACAGATAAGTACGAGTTCCTGCTCAATTACTATAACGATTACATCAGTTACAGAGTCTGTGGTGGAATGTCAAGCAGTCCACGTGTTCTATTCCAAGGTCTTATTCATTTATTTGGGATGCCAATGATTGAAAAAGGATTGCCCAAACTCGAACACTTTCCCCCTATGTGCTGAAACAAATTTCTACATGACTTCCTTTGTAATAGCTAGGTTTCATATGTCCCTTCTGGTAAGGGTTAGCAAGTGCTTTTGCATTTAGGATGGGTAGTTAATGTTACTGTCAATATGATATTCCATATGGCCTTTAGTTTTAATGATAAGGCTACCCAATATTTATGGAAGCTGTGTCTTTATGCATGCAGCTCATAATAGATTCTCAATTCACATTGGTAGAATGACTCATCATAACTCATAAGGGGTTCTTTCCATATCTCTCGCTCTTTTGTTGGTCCAATGGAAAAATAGCTTTAATTCAAGCCAGACCCACTAGGATTAATTCATAGTTTCACACTCAACCAAAGATAATAAACAGCGAAGTTTTGTAATTATCCCTCATTCACGGAGTCTTATTGGCCCGGGATCTCGTTGTTTCGACGGTGACGTTGATGTTTAGATGCGTATGAGTCATCCACAAAGCTTTAGAGATCCACACGAAAAGGTTTTTCTCTATACCTGTCTCCCCTTTATAGTGCCTGGCTGGTTTATACACAGATTTCAGTTCGCATCTTTTCTCAATCGTCCATTCTTTGATTCCTTTCTATCCGTAACAGAATTGTATTATGCAAAATTATTTTTCTTGATTACGTAGGGTGTCTAGATAATGACAACAAAATTTAACTTTAGTTTGATGCTTACATGCACTCATATGTTGTCTTTCAAAATAATAAAAAATAAGAAAGTAAAAGAGAAAATTAGAGATGAAAGGTGACAGTTCTTTTGACTAAACCTCAACATTATTAATTCTTAAAGACCAACGGATAAGTATTCACCAAAAAAAAAAAAAAAAGGCCAACGGATAAGTCGATGAGTAATGACATTGCACTCACCATGAATATATGAGGATAATACAGATAGATAAAAACAATGGTTTAACAATAAAATGTCTTACAAGAAATCGCCTAATTCTGACAAATTTAGGTTATCTTTGAACAAACTATTTTATATCACCTTTACAAGTGATATTTCTAAATCTTAGCTGCGTTACCAAACGTGCATACTTCCTTGACGCCTAAATTTCCATGATTGGAGGAGAATACATGGCAAGACTATAAAGCCCCGATATAGAAAGTTCGTAACTACAATTAATCATATCCTCTAGGCACAATTTTTGTGCTTAATTAGAGCATCCTTAGGCGGTCTTAGATTGCTCTAATATTGATAAAAAAAAAACAAAGAGTACCCATGAATCGAGAAAGTTCTCCTAGTCCTCTCTTATCCTTTTTGGATAAAAAAGAGTCAATTACGCCGTTGAGCCCGTTATTTGGTAAAGATGTTATTGTCAAATGGATTCAGGTAGGTTGAGTGTTTTTTCAAATCAAAATTATGAGGTTCTTTTCCCCTTGTACTGGCTACTGTTTGTTTTTTTAAAGTCAAGGTTGAACTTAAAAGCTAACATGGTATTAGAGCGTCGCTTCAAACAAGAAACATCCACAATCTCGTGATTTTTGTTTTGTTTTTGTTTAACTAAAGTGTCTTTTGAGTCCTTTACAATAAAAAATACGGTACTTACTTTAGTTCTTTATAAAAAATATTAATCGTGAGGTTGTTAAGAAATTCAAAATGGACTTATTTAATTAAAATTATGATCTTTTACAAATTCAAAAAAGACTCATATTAGTCCCTCAAAAGGACCAGACGACTAATAGGGACCAAACAATTAATTGTTTTTTATAAGGAACTAGAGTGAGGACCATATTTTTTTGTTAGGGACCCAAAATGACTTTACTCTTTCTGTTTTTTTTTTTTAATTTTGAAGAATTTTACATTTTCCTCATAACCTGTTCTTAAATTTGGAGCACTTTTGTGAAACCCGAGTCGACCCAAAATCCGGCAAATCGATCATCGAAAAATACCAAAATTATTTCATCTTGTCAGAAAAATGTAGAACTTATTTTTAAAAAAAAATTGTAATTTTATTTTTAGTGTACTCCTCGACAATGACCTCAAATTTCAGCTTCCAATACCGAAGCAATTTGCGGAATAATAAATTAAGAGAATGCGACATATGTCATTTCAATGTAGATGAATTTAAAAAATATGAGTTCAATGTCATTGAGAGATATGTTTATGGAGATTCTGAATTACAATTTAAATTGACATAGTAATAGTAATAGCATGCATTTTCATTTATTTGTGCTCATATTTTTTAGCTTATTTAGTGAACCTTTTTAAACTCATTTTAGATATGGAGAATATAATTAAATTTATATGTTCATATTTATATATATTTTTATATATTTATATATATTTAGATCAACCAGTTCGACCAACAACCCAATAACTCAGTACCCCAACCGGGTCGATGCTCGGGTCGGGTTTAATAACATTGATTTGGAGGAAAGAGTTTCTTGAATAACAGGGCATTGTAATTATAATTTATTATTTATAAACAATCATTTTTTATCTTTTGTGGTGTAAAGAACTAATTCAATCCAAACTTTTAAGTTGTTGGGTGAAAAAAAAATTAATGGTTTATAGTATTATCTAACACACACCCCTCACATAAGAGCCCTTTGGGCTTGAAACGTGAATATTGCATAGGCCCAAATTTTTTTGGTTTTACTTATGCTTATTTAATTTCACAAATGGGGCGGTGAAGATCGAATTTGTGATTTTATGAACACTGGAGCTCAGATATATATCATGTAAAAAATTAATTCAACCCAAAATTTTACGGTGTTGGGTAAATGCCTTTTT